AGACAAGCTTTGATGAAGAAAAATTCCAAATTTGCTTTGTCATGATAAACAGTGAGAAAGTGAGCAGTAAATCTTCCTTTACCTTAAAGCATCTATCAACTCGTACATTTTTTGAATCTCCACCCTCAAGTCATTAGCATGTTCAAGATTATAGGTTATCTCTCCAGCACTAAAAAATAAACACAACTTTATTATGTCATGCATCCAACTAACAACACATACCACATTAAAATTTATCCCAAGATTACCACAATACCACAAATATAAATGTGGCTAACTCTTTATAATGATTTTTTTCCAAGCCTATTGTGGGGTTTTTTTTGAAAAAAAAACAAAAACAAAAACAAAAAAAACAACTTTCCAACAGAAGTGGAAAACAATTATCGACTTGTGAACATGACCATTTCATAACAGATGGTATGATTTTATGGTTTCATTATTAACAGTTATAGAAAAAATGTATTGAAATACAGGAATCCCACCTGGTCATTAACCTAAAATAAGCACAACTTTACAATTGCATCCATTTTGTGTGTTTGGACTTTTTATTATTTTTCCCCCCCTCCACATAGGGCAAATGAGAAGAAAAATTTAAGTAACTAACTATATCATTATATAGTGAAATAGCTACTGCTACTTTGTTCTCAGAAAACAAAAGCCTACAAATCCACATGGCAACATAATACCTAGTTCCTAGGAATCTCATTTAGTGATAATAAATTAGGATTTACTAAGGAAGACTCGAACAGTTTTTAGTTGTCCCCCTCCTTTTATAAAATTTCTTATAAAAAAGGTTTTTATAAAATCCCTTTTTATAAAAAAATTACATATGAAATGATGATCACGCTCTCAAACTTTACATCTCTACCCATAAGATCTCAGGATTTATGAGGCTGAATACTAGTCAGAAATCTTAATTTTCACTAATAAGATGCTTCTTTTGCCCAATATGCACTTTCATCATCCAGGACATTTGTACTTATTTTGCTACAGGTATTAAAGCTAGTTGTACTACCTTTCCTGAAAGAGTAACCACAGCTTAGCAGGTTTTTCACATTCTAAATTTATTTCTTCCTTTTGGGAATGGTGCTTAACAAAAAAAAAGTTTTTTGTCAATATGAACTACAGCATAACAATTACGTAATCATCAGATCTGAAAAAACAGCATAGATTTATTATAGTTCATTTTGTGACATCCAAGACCAATGCGCACAGTTCCCCCCTCTGCAAGACAGCAGTATAACCTGACATCATCTTGCAGATTTAGCTAGAGGAATTTGTTACCCCAGTTAGTTAGCAGCAGTACCGCTCGCAGTGACGCACAAAGCCTGTCATGGGAGCGCAGGGCAGCCAGGTGGGAGAGCTGCCAGGGAGAGGGGGCCTCCCGTGAGCACGGATGAGGAAGCCAGGCGGTCTGTTCGTGCTGCACGACGCGGCAGCCACACCATCCAGCTACACAGCAGCAAGATCTGCTACAGCTGTTTCCAAAAGGCTCTTGTGATAACACACCGAGAACTGTAACATCATACTTATTTTTGGCAAAGACGCCATGGCAAAGTAGGATAGTAGCATCCCACTGTGAGGTGGTTAAAACAAAACCAAAAAGTTCTCTTTATGAGATTCTACTATTAATAATTCCGGATTACTTTGAAAAGTGTCCAATAGGCATTTCAAGTGCTACTAAACTACAGTTTAACCAAAATTATCACACATATAAGAACGAACAAAGTATCACACCAAGGATAGTGTGTTGCTATTTATTTCTTCATCGGCAAAACTAAGATCCATAATGGGTCTGCCTAGCCATCAGTGACCAGATCTTATATTCAGCACATGCCTCTATAAAATAAAATACAGCTACACAGTAAATCTAGTAAATTAATTTCTCTGGCTTTTTCAATTTTCAACGTGTGATGCAGGGAAAACATGTAAGAAAACTCCCATTTTTTGAAAGACTGTATAGAAATGCAAAATGTAATTGCTTTTACAATCCTTTCAAGAGCATATTCTAGCAGCCTTCATGAGGTGATCAGACATAGTATGTTGGAGAGGAGGGACAATCTGACCAATAACTGCATACACAATTCATTGACTTACATACACTGCTTGCGTCCTGAAGCTGGAAATCATTTTTGCAAACACATATTAAATATCAAAAATGCAAAACAAAAAGGATATTTGTCACTCTCTTCTTTGGAAGAGTTTCCTCAAATCTATTTGCTCTACAGCACTTTGTCTTCAGAAACTCCTCAAAAGCTGCCTATTTTAGCAACATCACAAATGCTGATTATTATCTTTTTTTTTTTTTTTTTTTACAAAGCCAAGAAATGTGCTACATTTCTTTCTAACCTTCATTACTTTTGTACAGTTAGTCACATCTTTAATATTAGTGACATGTAGCAGGCTTATTTTGCTTTTAATCAATAGGGTAAGTCTCTTAGCAGATAATTATAACACCTATGCTAATTATTTGCTAATAATGTGCAGATCTATAATGTGACATTCTGACCACACTTAAATCAGAGGCCGTATTTAACAACTGCTAAGACTCTCACATTTCTCCCACTCTAGAAATTTAGAGCATCACCTTTATAGATTATCTCCATGTTTGTTACATGTTTGTGAAAATAAAACACTACTGTATTCCGGTCTCCAAAATGGGTACCAAACTTCAGCATAATCAATTAATAATTCATCACCAGGATGATTCTTGCAAACTTTAAGACTTACTTTAATAAACAATGCCATTTATTAGTTTTTGGACAGGTATTTGGCCAGGTAAGAACACAGAATCTACTATCAGTTGTTCTTACGACTTTTTCACACTGCTTCCTTACACCCTCCCTTCCTCACTTGTAGGGGGTGAAAGGGCATCATATTCATAAACACAATCAGCAAATGAGGCTTACTTTAGTGATTCTGCCATCCTTATGTATCCAGGTGCTTTCTGGTCAACCTTTTCCATGCACAGTCGGAGTTTCTTGTTATAAAAAAAAAAAAAGATAAAAAAGAACTTGGATTAAAACACTAATGCAAGAACCTATTGTCATAAACTTTTCATATTCTTCCTGTGCGCATTCAAAGTTAATGGTAATGAGAGCTGTCTTGCTAGTTGAGATCACACGGCCCTCACAGTTTTGCTCAGAACAGAGACAGCACAGTGAGGAACAGAAGAGGAGCCTCTGTACTCAGACACACTGAACTGAATTCAGAAAATGTTTTAGCAGATGATTTGGACAACTTCTAGTCTTAATTTCAGAGAATCAAAAGGTATTCCCATTGATACTAACCTAGGTGTTTTGCAGACTGCTGAAGATATCTGACAACTATCATTAAGAGTTATGAAGTGTTTTCAAAGTATATTTGAACACAAAGAATTCAACACTCTTGAAAATGGAGAGAGTTCATAAAAATGAGGATTTAAGTTACTAAAGGATATACATTCTATGAGGCAACTGGCTCCATCATTTCATATATATCTTGACTGGATGACACAAACACCCAATAGACACCACTCTCATGCAATGGAATAATAAATGAACTATACATTCAGATGCTGGATATGAGAGAGCAAGCCAGAAGTCAAGTAGTGAGAGCTGTGTTGACTATGGAGAAAAAAAAAATACAGCAAGGAGCTTGCTTTACCTCATAGAGTTTCACAATCTCTGGAGTATGTTCTTTCTCATCAATCTGTTCTTCTCTTTTCAGCAGAGTGTCTTTGCAGTGCTGACAACAACGGATCCTGTCATCATCTTTCTCATCCAGAACTGAGCTCACACTGCTTATGCTGCTAATGCTGCCACGGCGGGAGCCATGGACACTATTAGGTGAGGAGTTTGGGCTAGTACGAGAACCCAAGGCCTCTCTGCTGGCACTGGTGAGTTTATCTGAAAGTCACATATAGGTAATTTTACAGTGACTACTGAAAAAAATGCAGAGAATCTGAGACAACTGAAACTACAAGTCAGAGCGTGCATCTTTACTGTACTGTAAATCTTGCTCCAAACCAAAAGACGCTGCAGAGCAGACTGATGGGAACCTCTGACTCTGCTAACACACAGAAGCACTCTCATGTTAGCACCTACATGGCTATAGAATAAGGAATGGAAAAAGAGCTACAGTAATACTTTCCATGTTTTACACTTCACCTCTCCAAAGAACCCAATTAATGGCATTTATTTCCACAGCCTCCTTGTCAGTGCATTAGAGGAGGCAATTAAAGTTGGTAGGGCTTCTTACAGGTTCATGGCTTAATTTCCTTAATGTCAGTGGAGCATTTAAACAACCATGAAAAAAATGGAAAATACCCACAACCACCTTAGATGTAAAGAATCTTGACAGTTATGATTCCAAAAGATAACTCCTTCACAGTTATGGTAATTAATAGAATAAGACTACAAAGATTAATTTTGGCATATTTAGGAATACTACTACTTCTCGTGACACTTTCTGTGCTATTTTACGTTTCTAAAAATCTGAAAAAAGAACAAAGAATGGAGAAATTATTCCTCTTAATGTTAGCAATGTCTGCTGTGTAGACAAGCGTCTGCACGGAATTAAACAAACCATTAAGGAGTTTTCCCACACAAGCCAAATATTTTCATCAACTTGATTCTAGTGCCAAAAAAAGCCAGGATACAGTTAGCATTCCAGGTGGGACAATTAAAGTAGGAATTGCCACCAGCCACTGTACTTACTTGCCAAAGGAAGACTGACCAGTTCCATGCATTTCTTGCACATAATAGAGCCACAAAGGCGGCAGTGGTGGCGTCTGTTTCGAATACTGAACTTATTGCCACAGTCTGGGCAGAACGGAACGTCCTGGTCACTGACCCAAGGCACAACAGACTTTTCTATAGCTAGAATCAGGCAGAGAAAGGGAATACACAGAGCATGAGATATTCATCAAATGCATTCCTCAGCTGGCAAAAGAGCTTGAGGTAAGCTCACTCTTACCTCTTATTTTAGCTGACTCTGTGTTTGCTCTGTCAAAAGATGTAAGCTAAAAGAAGATAAATAACACACATTCAAAGAAATTGTACTATTGGGGGAGAAAACTTTTTTTAAAGCTAGAACTCTCGATCTTGATAATGCCCTCAAGTACAGTAAAAATAATCTATTTTACAAGAGTACCTTTTTTATTTAATTCTAAAGTAGTATTCACATAAGTAGCAGTAAACAATTGCCAAACCTGTACAAATCAGAGCATTTTGGACAAAATTCTTAAAGCACCCATCATTACTGTATCTGAGCCAAAAAAAAAATCCAAGTAAAACAGATGTAACAGCTAGATAAGAAAGAATAAGAAGCTGGAAGAATTGTAAGGAAAACATTACAGAGAAACTTAGAAGTAAAACATAGGGAAAAAAAATATATGGATGACAGATGGTACTTGCAGCACACGGTAATAACATCTTCACCTTCAAAAGAAGAAAAAGCTAAGAAACAGAAATCATATCTCTGGCACAGAGTAGAAAAAGCACAGTGCACACAGGAGAAAAAAAAGTATGAAAAAAACAGTAATAGATTACTCTCCTTTATAAAGTGCATAACTAGATAAATGGATATTCCTTATAGAAAAAGATGATTTTATACTTAGGAAACATTCAGAAGGCTGGAATGTCAAGAAGCAGCAACTTTACCTTTTCTAACCTGATTATTAACTTATTGACTTCAACTACATAGTGATCAATCCTGGCTGCTCTGTGCTTCTTGAAATCAGAAAGATGGCTTCTCGTAGCACCTGGACAGGGAGGCAGATGGGGAGAGAGTCACACAGAGTTTTCAGACTCATCCAGGTGTTCTGTATGTGCATTTATGAAGTAAAAGGTGCCTGAAAGACAGCTTTCATTTCTGTTCACTGTTTATTTCTCATGTCCAGATGGAATTTTAAAAACCTATATTTTTACGGTGCTTCTCTAAACACAACAGGCAGATTAAAGCATTATCTCTGAGCTAAAAATAAACAGTTTTATTTCTATTACAGAACATAACAAGCACTATGTTAAAGAGAAGACTGCCACAAAGAAATTTCCCTCATCATGCTTTAGTTGGCAAACTGCTATCAAATAGAAATATTTTCAAGACTAACACCAAATGGTTTCTTGACCATAACTGGAACAAAGGGAGAAAGTAGATCCAATTAATATTTAAGAACTCTAAGATAGCATTTTTTCTTTCAGATTTCTCATCATCCTTCCACCTTTAGGGGTCTGAATCAAATCCTAGCTAATGGTTCAGATTTATGTAAATCTGATAACTGAGCACACAAAAGATCAACAGAGGATTCAAAACTAACATTGCTGAGGTAAAGCAACAACATAAGCCAGTTATTAAAAAGCAAAGCTGCAAAAATACAAAAATATTTTTTCCTCTGTAATTTGACAGAACAGAAAACAAGATGTTGTTGCTTGACAATAACTGTTTATAAGAATATAGGATGATTGCACTTCCTCATTCTAATGAAATGCACAAAAAACCTCCAAGGTCAAATTCACTGGAATGGAAAGGCCCTCCAGATTCACTCTGCTACTGAACCCATCGCAAGGCCCCTTTCACAAACACACCAAATCTCATCCTAAAAATCAGTGAGGTTCACCTTCCCCACTTCTATCAGGAAAAAAAAAATCCCTTCTCTAAGGTTTAGAAGCCTTCTGCTCATCCATAGCCTAACTTTACTCTTCAATATTTAAATACCTATATAAATATATAAAAATACATAATATTTAATAACATTAATATTTATATAGCTACATATTTATATATAACTAATACTTATACTTATGATTGCTGCTGAAATAGTCAAAGGCAAATGTACAACCAGCTACAGAACTGAAACTCTGGCACAGGACTAAGTCCCTGACTGTCGACAACACAAAACATTCCCAAAACTCACCGGTAACAGTACTGCCTCCCCTTCTTTCTGTGCAAATAACTGCTCTGTAACAGTGAAATGTAATTTCTGGTAGCAGAATTTGTAAGTACAGGCTCAGTCACCATATTCTTGTACATCCACAAAGTTTAGATCTGTATCCAGAGCGGATTTTTTTTTGCTGCCTTTTTGTCCTTTTAATTAAAGACCACCTCTTTCTAATGAGAGCCTATATACACTTCAAATCCAAGAAAAAAAAATAAAAGGTTCAAATGAAAGGACAAGCTTTTTGACAGGCACATAAACTAATACCGACTTTAGCCTAAAAGACAGAGATTTTACACAGCTATAACTACTGATTAGTGATTTATCTGTTTCGCAAAAAACAAAATGATGGTTGCAGAACATTTCAACAAAGCTACACATGTGTTGGATACAACACATGTATCCAACAGGTCTCAACAGCTCAGGCACAAAGGTATCACACACTATTGCAAGTGTCAGTTGGGATCCTGGTGAAGGTTTATGATTTTTTACACTGTCAGCAGTTTCTCAATCACCCTATGTAACATAGGCAGGGTGCAAGAAATGATATGCAAACCATCAACCCATGTTGTGGCATCTGATGCAACAGACACCTCCATGCAGCTTCAGCAAAACTGTAGCATTTCCCTAACTAAGGCTGAAAAAGTTATCCACACTGCACACCACAGCCTAGTTCTCTTACCTAGTTCTTGGGGCTCCCACATGTATGGATCTACTCCACCATAACTAAATGACTCGTATCGTTCCTGAGACCCAGAATCTGTTCGACCATCTTCTCGTTTTAGGAATTTCTTCTTTGCTCTTTTGGCCTTCTGGACTAGATCTGGAAAAGGGAGAACCACATATCAGGCACTAGGCTAGGCAGTTAGTCACTGAATATATGTCATTTGAAGCCAGTATAGAATATTCTGATCATTTTCCTTGATGACAAGTTTACTACTAACATTTTCAATTTTACACAAATACAACTTAGTCTATTTAGAACCAGAACATAGTTCAGAAATTCTGATTTTTGCCTGTTGTAAAGAAGTGTTAACTTCTTCATAACAAAACTTTGATTTTGGCACACTGTTCAGAATTTTACTGTGAAACAGTAAACTGTTGACTAAAGCTGCGTTAACTTGTGGGACAGAATCCATAACATGTTGGAACAGTGTACAGATAACAGCTTTTCATTCCTAATGATTTTCTAAGGATTCAAGGATGCTTAGCACTTTTTTCTACTTTTGCACAAACTGCATAGTAAGAATTTCAGTGTGCTTGTATTTTCCCCAAGTACTAAAGCAGCCCATTCCATCATCTCACGTGAATGGCCATGAGAGGACAACCTACTGTGACAGAAAGATGGGGAACTTGAAGCTTTAGAGCTTTTATCCCCCTTGCAGCTAACTTCCTCTTGAGATCTAGCAGAAGTTGAGGGTTCTAATTTCCTTGTAAAAGACATTCAATATCTCCTAGAATTAAGTATTTTACATGTCAAAGTTTCTGACAAGGTGCTGCAAACCATGAGTTGGTAAGTCCCTTCAGATTTCTCATTTTCTTATTTAGCACCCAAAACAGTAGAATTTCCACCTCAACAACACTGCAGCCTGTTCCAGGTTTTAGCCACTAAGCTATACCAGCAGGATGCTCTCATGCAGGCATCCCACTTACTAACTGGAGTCATTCAGCTGTTGAAATGATGCTTCCTAACATGACATCACTGAAATAAAACACACTTTCTCAACAAAGCTGCACCTATGAAGCTGACCAGGACTTTGTTAGCAGTGTAACGTCACCTCAGAAGCAGCATTTCTCCTCCCATCTCTCCAAGCCAACCTGGGAAATGCCAGCTGAACGCAAATGCAGTTTCTTAGGTGGTTACACAATATACACAGAAGTACATCTGCCCTAAATATATCTGCACCAAGGACTTTGAAACTGAGATGTGCAAAAAAAATAATTTGGGCTATCCCCTGCTTTGCCCCGGGCACAAAAGGTTTTCAAGCGGATTTTTGTAACGCCTTTCACAACAAAAACTAAACACAAATAACTCAGTATGACTCCCTCAAAGTACTAGAAATGACTAGAAATCACCTACAGCTCCATAAACAGGATACTCTGAACTATTCACAAAAATCACATAACTACTCGTGGTATACTTCTTGGACACCAGTCCCTTGTTTAAGAAAAAAATAATTTAGATGACTTCTGTCTAGGAGAAACTTTACTGAATAGAGCTTGAATGAGTAACTAGGACAGCAAGTAAGCAAATAAAAACAACAAACATAGGAAAGCCAGCCCTAGAAGGCACAGTTTGCTACTTTAAAAGAACACCACAGAGAACAAAAATCAAAATGGAGGTGTTCCATGATAAATAAAAGCAAGTATTTGAGAAATATTACCAAGCCTAAGTTTTCTTTCCTCTTAGTGCACTGAAAACCACACTGCTCCGTCTGAAAGGCTCCTCTGAGGCAGCCGTGACTGAGCCAGGAGAGCGCAGTGCCCTGCGGAGACAGCACAGCCCCCCTGCCCCGGCTGCCCACGAGGGCGCAGGGCTAGGAGCCAAGAGGCAGCCAGACCCACGGAAGGCAACTAAGTTGTGCTACTCTTGAGAGAGATTTTCAAAAACAGGAGCTTCACTTAAGAGAGAGAGTTTTGAAGCACTGACCAGCAGGCTCTCAGAGGGTTGGGGGAATAAAAATTCAAAGCTGTGTGAGCACTCTTCGTTATAAAATAAACGTGCAAAGATTTTTTGCAAGGAGCACAGAAAACTACCCCCTTCTCTGCACATTACTTCTCTCCACATGAAATGACACAGCGTAGATATGGAAAAAACAGGGAAGAAACATTTTACTTGCAAAGACTCCTCAGGGACTTTGTGAACGCCAGTGAAGGCCAACTCTGGGGCACTTTCAGCACCACTGCCCCCTCGGGCAGCGCCTCTGCTCAGGCCCCCTCCACCTTTGCCCAGCACAGACCTTCCTTAGCTTTACACTTCGCCTTGCTGTCAAAAAACAGGCGATTCATGACCCAGCACCTGGCAAGTACCAGGTTACCCACGTTCTGCAGGTTCTTCACTAAACCTAGGAACTGTGTGCGTTGTACAGTATAAATCTGAGAGTGCTCAGAGTAACAAACAAACAAAATCAAATCCAGAGAGAAGAAATAAAGGCAAAAAAGAAGAAAACCAGAACAAAGGCAGGGCAGGGTACACAGCCAGGCACGGCCAGGCCTTCCAAGTGCCGCTCTCCGCACAGCGCTGCGAGGGGCCGGCAGGGCGGCGCGGGGGCCGCTCCCCTGGGCGGGCCGGTGC